TGGCCACGTCAAATTCTGGCTGGAATCCGTGCTAGGATTGCCAGCTCATTCGTTATGCCCATGAAATAACAATGCTAGCAATAATAGCAATGAATAATAATAACAACAATATACCTCATTTCCTCAGCACTTAACAGGTGCCCAACGCTGGGCTAAATGTTTAAGCTAAATATTTTCATTTAATCTTCATAAACTCATAGAGGTAAATAAGCACCCTAAACCCATGCCAGCCAGGATGCTTTGCCTGCATCCCAAACCCACTGACGACTCTCTCTTCTGTGCACAGCCTAGGCCCTAAGAATCAGGCTGCATTTCAAATCCCCAGAGGGCTGAACCCGGACAGGCTGTCACACCCCTGGAGGTCGCAGTCCCTGGGGGCTGTCATTGTTGGTGAGGTCCTACCACAGACGGATGGCAAAGCCATGTGCCTGTCTCTTCATGTCAAAGATTAAGGGTTCCCTTTTCTCCACACCCTCACCAGCACTTATTGTTTGTAGACTTTTTGATGATGGCCATTCTGACTGGTGTGAGATGATACCTCATTGTAGTTTTGATTTGCATTTCTCTAATGATTAGTGATGTTGAGCATCCTTTCATGTGTTTGTTGGCAATCTGTATATCTTCTTTGGAGAAATGTCTATTCAGGTCTCTGCCCATTTTTGGATTGGGTTGTTTGTTTTTTTGATATTGAGCTTCATGAGCTGCTTGTATATTTTGGACATTAATCCTTTGTCAGTTGATTTGCAAATATTTTCTCCCATTCTGAGGGTTGTCTTTGACATGAAGAGACAGGCACATGGCTTTGCCATCCATCTGTGGTAGGACCTCACCAACAATGACAGCTCTATTTACAATAGCCAGGACATGGAAGCAACCTAAGTGTCCATCAACGGATGAATGGATAAAGAAGATGTGGCACACATATACAATGGAATATTACTCAGCCATAAAAAGAAACGAAACTGAGTTATTTGTAGTGAGGTGGATGGACCTAGAGACTGTCATATAGAGTGAAGTAAGTCAGAAAGAGAAAAACAAATACTGTATGCTAACACATATATATGGAATCTAAAAAAAAATGGTCATGAAGAACCTAGGGACAAGATGGGAATAAAGATGCAGACCTGCTAGAGAATGGACTTGAGGACATGGGGAGGGGGAAGGGTAAGCTGGGACAAAGCGAGAGAGAGGCATGGACATATATATACACTACCAAATGTAAAGTAGACAGCTAGTGGGAAGCAGCTGCATAGCACAGGGAGATCAGCTCCGTGCTTTGTGACCACATAGAGGGGTGGGATAGGGAGGGTGGGAGGGAGGGAGACGCAAGAGGGAAGAGATATGGGAACATATGTATATGTATAACTGATTTACTTTGTTATAAAGCAGAAAGTAACACACCATTGTAAAGCAATTATACTCCAATAAAGATGTTAAAAAAAAAAAAAAGAATACTAAAAAAAAAAAGGGTTAAGGGAAAGGTCACGCTCTCTGAAAAATCAGAAAGAAAACCTCGCAACTGGTAAATCTGTATCAGAGGAAAGCAAAGTCTGTCTTTGTCTGGTGGACACTCAACATTATTCTGTGAACTTGAACCCTTTCTTCTTTTTTTTTTTAACCCCTTCTTGCTAGAACTCGCTCTTCGGGCTTAGTGGACCACTTGATGTCTCTGTAGGGGAGGTGTTTCCCAAGCTCATTTTCTCCGACTGTCTGTCTCAAGTTCTTGAGCCGTAGATTTTCAGGCCGTATAAAATGCAGATGGAAAAACAATTTCTCCCTTAATTTCTTTTTCTCTCTCATCTTATTTAAAACACGCTTTGCAGAACCCTCTTACACTGTTGGTGGGAATGTAAACTGGGGCAGCCACTATGAAGAAAGGTATGGAGGTTCCTCAAAAACCTAAAAATAGAGCTACCATATGATCCTGCAATCCCACTCCTGGGCATATACCTAGACAAGACTATAATTCAAAAAGATACATGTACCGCAATGTTCATTGCAGCACTATTTACGATAGCCAGGACATGGAAGCAATCTAAATGTCCATCGACAGATGAATGGATAAAGAAGATGTGATTGATATATGTACATACAATACACACACATACACACACACAAGAATATCAGCCATAAAAAAGAATGAAATAATGCCATTTGCAGACACATGGGTGGAGGACCTAGAGATTATCCTACTAAGTGAAGTCAGACAGAGAAAGACAAAAATCATATGATATTGCTTATATGTGGAATCTAAAATATGATACAAATCAACATGTCTATGTAAGAAAAACAGACTCACAGACATAGCGAACAGACTTGTGGTTGCCAAGGGGGTGAGGGTTGGTAGAGGGATGGAGTGGGAGGCTGGGGTTAGCAGATGGAAGCTTTTACATACGGAATGGAAAAACAACAAGGTCCTACTGTAGAGCACAGGGAACTATATTCAATATCCTATGATAAACCATAATGGAAAAGAATATGAAAAAGAATATATATATATGTATAACTGAGTCAGTTTGCTGGACAGCAGAAATTAAGACAACATTGTAAATCAGCTCTACTTCGATAAAATTAAAAAAAAATGAAAGCACCCTTCGGAGCCTGAGTGATTGAGTTGTGGTGAACACATCCTCGTGTTAACCAGAATTAGTAGTAAGTTGTTCCAGGGCTGCAACATTGACTGAGGTTTCAAAACCAAAACATTTCCCAAGAAACTATGCAGATTATTATTAGTAGAGTCTTTAAATTCCTTCTTAGAAACTGGTAGTGAATGAATCCTAAATATATAAATAGTAGAAACCAAAACACGACAACCCCTCATTGGCGTTTCTTTTTTTCTTTTTCTTCTTTTTTTTTTTTTTTTAGTACGCGGGCCTCTCACTGTTGTGGCCTCTCCCGTTGCGGAGCACAGGCTCCGGAAGCGCAGGCTCAGCGGCCATGGCTCACGGGCCCAGCCGCTCCGCGGCATGTGGGATCCTCCCGGACCGGGGCACGAACCCGCGTCCCCTGCATCGGCAGGCGGACTCTCAACCACTGCGCCAGCAGGGAAGCCCCCATTTGCGTTTATTTTAAACCCACTCCAGACGTGAGATTTCCACACGCCCTCCAGGCTCTGCGTGAGGCGAGTGGACCTCCCCTCGGCTGCACTGTTTTAGTCGGGGAGTAAAATTAACCCCCCTTCCTCCCAGCTCCTCTCTTTGCTTCCTGCCCTGCCCCCCAAGTCTCTTCAGGAATCCTTTGTAGTTGTACCTAATTTTCTCGGGGCTTGTAAACCTTTCTCTCTGTTCTATTTCTTTGGCTGCATCTGTCTTGCCCCTGGTGGCGCCAGCAGGTACAGGTCATAATGCGGACAATGCAGACCAAGCTGCCGTCTGCATTCAGGGGCAGAAGTGGGACAGCAGGACTCCCGCCCAGGCCCATCCCTGGTGGCCGTTCCATCTCCCTGCTCTGCTGGCTCAGAGGACCAATCCCACGGCCACCACCAGAGCTCACACCCCGGGATCCTGCACCCTCTGCCTGGTGCCTGGGCCCCGAGTGTGGCCCCCTTCCTAAGAGCCTGTCCTTTCTTCCTTCTGGGTGTGTGTGTGTGTGTGTGTGTATGTGTGTGTGTGCGTGGTCTTCCTTCTTTTCCCCGGTCCTCATGAACTCTCTTCCACTTCTGGGTCCCATTCCGTTCCACCACCCTCTTTCCCACCTTTCCTTACGTCATATTATGGGAAACCTCAAACACATTCAAAAATGGACCAGACAGTAACAGAACTCTCGTGTTCCCATGGCCTGGGTTTAACGGTGTGAACACACAGCCCCTGGTGTTTTATCTGTTCTCCTTTCAACTCCCTGCCAAGCCGTCGCTTTGAAGCAAATCCCAGATACTCTATCATTTCATCCCCAAATGTTTCAGGATGTATCTCTAAGGATTCTTTTAGAAAAACATAACCATCATACTATTATCACACTAAAGCCATGAGCAATTCCTTAAAATCATTACATCTCCCTTACTAATAATTTTTTTTAACAGATTGTTTAAAATGAAGACCCAAGTAAGGTCCACACATTGCAAATGGTAGATGTTTCCTAGGTCACTTTTCATTTACCCTCCCCGGGAACATGCACACGCACACGCACACACATGCACACACACACCCCGTCCCCTGATGTCTCTGTTGCTTAGGACCTGGGTCACTCTTCCTGCAGCCTCCTGGAGCTGGGCTTTGTGGCTCACACCTCGCACTCTCCTTGGACACCTCCTCTGCCCTGCAACTGTGTGCTCAGAGTCTGTGGTTACCTGCAGGGGGCGCTGTCCTGGGGGCATTGATTGTGGATTAGGAGCTGAGAAAGGGCACATCGTGAGTGCCCGCCTAGGGTGTCGGGGGCTTGCCCTGCAGGTGGGGTCCTTAGGGTGAGGTCCTTCTCTCCAGGTCCCGGGGGAATGTCCTCTGAGGTCTGTGCCGCTGTGACCAAGGATCTTGAGCCTGGGGCAGCACCTCTGGTCCTGAAAGACGGGCTCTCGCCAGGCCACGGGCCCCGGCAGTGGCATCTGAGGACGCTTCCGGGGAGCTAGCTGCCAGGGCCTCCCTCCTTTGGGCCTGACGTGGTTTTCTTCGATGGAGCCAATGCCCGGTTTTAAGACAGGCTGGGACCTGGGACCCTCTGCTGCAGTGCTTGCACCTGGACAAACATCTCCTCCAGCAACAAAATACAAAGAAATCATAAAGCACTAAAAACAGCTGCGTGCATGCACAGTTGGGGCAAATTATGGACAAGAAGATACAAAAAGACCAAAAACCCAACTGCCACTTCCGAAGAGCCGGGAGCAAAAGCAGGGCACTGCGCATGCCCCCTGCACACGACACCACCAAAGGGGCGGGCAGACCACCTAAGCCACACCTCCGGCCCGACCCCCAGACCTACCCCTCCCCTCCCCAGCTCGTCACCCCACCCAACTAGGGGAGCAAGTGAGCAAGGGAACCTGTTGTTTGTTCTCACTCTCCACCCCGCCCCCCCCGCCCCGCCTCTGCTGCAGCAGGGGCCCCAATAAAGCCTTGCTTGAATTTCTTGTCTGGCCTCTTGTCAATTTCTATTGCTTAAGGAGGCCAAGATCACTGGTCGGTAACGGTTGACATTTTTGCGAATTTTATCTCTTTTTTCTCTCCTCCTTTCTTTCCTACCTCCGGGCGGGCCAAGGAGCCACTGTTCTTCTATCTGCCCTTTCTGCCTGCATTGCTTTTATGAAAGTCTCCACCCACAGTCAGACCCCAGGAGTGTAAAGGGATTTTAGACAATTCAAGGTGATCGTCATGCTGCAGAATCCCAGTTTGGAAATTCAGAAATCTACACCCACCCGTCCCTGCTGAAGCACCTAAATCCACTCCTGAAATTTTGCTACTAAGGGAAAAGTCATTCATGAGAAATTTGTTCTCATCAATTTTAGTGGGAAAAAAAAATCACGATGTATTTTCTCCTAATCTGAGATACTTCAACCATTTTCACAGGTAGAAAACTCTGTCAATTGTACAATGAAAATAAGTACATACAAGTAATAACGCATGAAGGTATATAAATCTGGTTTGGACATAGAATGTAAGGTAACAAAGGTCTTTTCTGAACTCACCAAAGGACCAAAAGGGGTCGAGGGAAGGAGGCTGGGAGGGAATCACGCCTTATAAGTTCGTCCTTCTTGCTTCATGTTTTCTTCACTAAGTTTTCAACCTTTGGGCTCACAATTACTTTGCTCTCAAGGTGCACTTCAAGGAGTATACAGATAAACATCATTAGGGAGAAATAAAGGCTGAGCACACGGGTTCTTGGAGATGTGGGAATCGCGCAGTGGTAACGAGAGCCGAGAGTCATAGGACGTGTTGCTCTGCATCTTCCTGGCCGGGTTTACGCGCCCGGTACACGGGGTTCGTGCAAACGTGGTGAACATTCAAATCCGTGCCATACGGTCTTCTTTGACGAGACGCTGTCATGTTGGTTAAACGGCTGATGTGTTTTTGCCTGCCTGGAGGTCAAAATATCACCGATTTCAACATATTTATTTAGTGTGCTGTTGGCTAAAAGTTATTGCACTGGAAAAAACAACAATGACAACAAGCTATCGTCCAAAATGTGGTTTGAGAGCCACTATGTTGCAGAGTTAATTCAACCATCATGATCGAGAAAAGGCGGTGGTTACCTGGGGCTTTCTCCTGGATTTCCTTCTGCAGCCGATGCTAATTTCCTCCCAGGCACCTGGACTAGGGTGAAGGTTAGCTTCTCAGAAAGCCAAGAGGGACAGCCCACTGATACTCTAAAAAAGTCTTACCGACACAGTACTCACCTGCCCCTCAGGGGATCAGAGTTAAAAAGTGCTTTGAATTATCAATACTCTGAATAACGTGGACGAATCTCGCAAAACGTGCTGAGTGAGAGAAGCCAGACACAGCAGATGACACACTCCAATCGTAGGGAATTGACAGCAGGCAAACCGCAGAGATAGAAATCAGAATGTGTTCCCTGGGGGTCGGGAGAGGAGCTGACAGGAAAAAGGCTTAAAGGAATGTTCTGGGATCAAGGAAATGTTTTACATCTTGTTTTGGGTGGTGCTTACACAGATGGATGCAATTGTCAAAATTCATCAAAATCAACGTCCACGATCTGTGCATTTTTATGGTAGGTTTAAAAAGTTTGAAATACTGTAAATGAAAAAAAAAAGAATTCAAGGGTACTTGACATTAAATTGTTATTAAATACATCTTTGAATAAACTTTATAGGCTTTGGGGTTGGAAGGCCTGGGTTTGAATTCCAGTTCCACAACTCCCAGCTGTAGGATGCTGGGCAAGTTAATGAACACTTTTGAGCCTCATTTTTCTCACCTATAAACCAGCGGCGAAAACAGCCCTCAGCTCATAAAGGTTTGTGAACACTGGATAGACTAAAGCCCACAAAGCGCTCAGTCACTGATGAACAAGAATTACGTTCCTCTGCTTCCCTGAGCATTTAAGGACCATCATGCCAGCCCTCTATCCATTTCATGTTGTCACCATGCACACTGTTCCCGGATTTCACCTGCAGCCAGTCCTGTCATCCTCCAGAGGCTCTCCTGGGCCCCTGTGGTCCCAGAGGTGAAGAGCCAGAGAGGTGAAGGCCAGTCAGTGCCAGCGGCAAGGCTGGAACCTGATCCTGTCACCTGACTTCAGTTAACCCCTCGGTGGCCTGGAGCCTCCAGGGCCCGAGCCAGCGCCCACTTCTTGGCATCCCACAGTCGGTCAGAAATGAGGTTTGCAAAAAAAAAAGAACCTCAAACAAACAAAAAACCCCAAACCCCCTGAAACGAACACAACAGGGTAAATCAACTATACTCCAATATTAAATAAAAATTAACCACCAAAAAATGAGGTTTGCACGGCATCTTGGCTCCGTCTTGTGGGTGATGAGGTTGTACCAGGTGTTTCCATGCATCTTTATGAGCTCATTTGGGTTCATTTATCCAAAGACAATGTGTACTTTGGGTGAAGATGGTTAGCCTAGCTCTCCCCGCCCGCCCGCCCCCCTGCAACTGTTCTCTGGAGAGAATTTTGTGTTGTTTGGTTGGTAGCTTTTATTTTTTGAAAATATAGTAATTGCATATGGTTAAGATTCACACAGGGCTGTAGGTGGATGGTAAGACGTTTTCTTACCAGTTCTAACTTATAATACCCGGATCCCCTCCCTGGAAAGCAGCTGCTGTTAGTTTCTCGTGTGTCCTGCTAGAGACAGGAAGGCGGGGTGGTCGCTTAAACAGAAGCACCTTGTGACAGCCTGGAGGGGTGGGATAGGGAGGGTGGGAGGGAGGGAGACCCAAGAGGGAAGAGATATGGGAACATATGTTTATGTATGACTGATTCACTTTGCTATAAAGCAGAAACTAACACACCATTGTAAAGCAATTATACCCTAATAAAGATGTTAAAAAAAAAAACAAAAAAAACCCAGAAGCACCTGTGAAATATCTGAACTAAATTTCACCAGGATTAATAACTTTGGGAAAAACCCCTGAATCTCCACTGATCCAGTGTTTCTACCGTGCCCTCTAACTCATTTTCTTTTCTCTTCCTCTTTAATTTTTTACATCAAAAACAATTTTTTTTTTATTGGAGTATAGTTGATTTACAATGTTGTGTTCATTTCAGGTGTACTTTTCTCTTCCTCGTTTTTTTTTTTTTTTTTTTTTTTTTTAGCGGTACGCGGGCCTCTCACTGTTGTGGCCTCTCCCGTTGCGGAGCACAGGCTCCGGACGCGCAGGCTCAGCGGCCATGGCTCACGGGCCCAGTCGCTCCGCGGCATGTGGGATCTTCCCGGACCAGGGCACGAACCCGTGTCCCCTGCATCGGCAGGCGGACCCCCAACCACTGCGCCACCAGGGAAGCCCCTTCTCTTTCTCTTTTAATTCAATTTTAACCCTTTCCTATTTCTGGGTTAAGAACACAGGAGAGGAACAAGGCGGGTGTTTTTCTTTCCAGCACGTAGACAGGCACACGTGGGGAGGGAGGCTACGTGACCTGCCCAGGTCCCAGCTCACCTGGTTCCAAGCCCATGCTCTCTGCCTGTGCTTCCTTCTGGAGCGGAATGCGGCAGGGCAGTCACGCGACTGTTTCCCTTTAGGGGACAAACGTACACGGTGTCAGGTCGATTTGGTTCCTGGCAGGATGCACTTTGTCTTTTATCTCTAGTTCTCCTGCAGCTGGACATGGTTTACGGATGCAACACAGGCATACTGAGTGCATGAGTTCAACCTAAAAAAATACAGTTTGCTGTGCTGTGGGATATCCAGGTAACCATTTTCTGAGGGAAGCTGGAAATTGAGAGCTGATGTTTGTGAGGGATGCCAGGTGAGTGATGTCGAGGTCACCAGAAAGCAGACGAGATGAGATTGTCACATGAGAGAGAAGGCGAGAAAACTGGGGCTCGGAGACATTCCGAGGGTGAAAGGCTGCCTTTGGGGTGGGGATCAAACCTGAGCTGAGAGGGAAGGGAAGCTCTGGAAGGAGGGTTAGAGCATGGAAGGCTCTGGAGGCCTGAAGATGGGCTGCTAGGGGATGCTGTTGGCTTTGATGATTAGTGAGTGGGTTTGAGTGAGAGGATTCAGGAAGGTGGCAGAAAGTAAGCCAGATTGTGTGTCTGTGTGTGTGTTTGTGTGTGCGCGCGCGCATGTGAGAGGGGTCCACCTACTGTGCCCGCACCCCCCCCCATCTTGGTTTGGGTCTACTGCAGCTTTATGAGGTTGGGTTGGCCAGGTCTTTACTCTGAAGGCTGGCATTTCTCCCAAGAGCACCAGTGCCACCTAAGGAGGGCAACTCGAGTGAATCCACAGCAAAGAAAAAGGAAAGTAATATTTAATTTCATCCAGCCTGACACACCACTGGACACAAGGAATGTGTCTGCAATTCTGAATCGTAAACGTATGAATGCGTTATTTCATGGAATAGAGATGTGTTCTGGCCAAATTGGCTGTGAAGTGAATAAACATTATTTTTCTATTGAATTCAGCTACAAAATGACTAGAAATCTTCCCATGCGGATTGAAAAAAAAAAAAAACAAAGAAAGAAGGAAAAAAGCAGAAACCTGTTGTCAGAAGGAAGAAAAGAAGGGCTGTGGAGCTGGTTCTGTGGCTGAGTGGGTGGCAAGTTCTGTGGCTGGGTGGCTGGTTGTGTGGCTGGCTGGTTTGGTGGCTGGCTTAGTGGCTGGTTGTGTGGCTGGCTGGTTCTGTGGCTGGGTGGCTGGTTCAGTGGCTGGCTGGTTGGTTCTGTGGCTGGCTGGCTGGCTGGCTGAGTGGCTGGTTCTGTGATCTCCAGACTGACTGTGACAATTCCTCTCACTTCCTCCTGCTTTGTTCTCCTTGTTTTCCTTTTGAGGGGCTTTCAGACCCGGTGGAGCTACATACAATATTTTGCTTTACCTGAGGTCCACTGAACACAAGGTTCAAGGATTCTGGTTGTATAAACCCAATAATTTCTTCCTTCTCTAACTGGTAAATCCACAACGATGCGTATCACGTTTCCTCAGGCTGGGAGGTGCTGCCTCTGCGCCTGGTTTTCACAGACACACAGATGTGGGTTTGAGACCCAGCTCTGCCACTTAGTAGTTACAGGAGTTTGGATCAATTTTTTAAAAATTTAATTAATTAATTTATTTTTGGCTGCATTGGGTCTTCGTTGCTGCATGCGGGCTATCTCTAGTTGCGGTGACCGGGGGGGCTACTCTTTGTTGCTGTGCGCGGGCTTCTCACTGCGGTGGCTTCTCTTGTTGTGGAGCACGGGCTCTAGGCACGTGGGCTTCAGTAGTTGTGGCACACAGGCTCAGTAGTTGCGGCTCGCGGGCTCTAGAGCGCAGGCTCAGTAGTTGTGGCGCACGGGCTTAGTTGCTCTGCGGCATGTGGGATCTTTCCGGACCAGGGCTCGAACCCGTGTCCCCTGCATTGGCAGGAGGATTCTTAACCACCGCGCCACCAGGGAAGTCCAGGAGTTTGGATCTATTAAAATCCCGGTCACTTTCCACATCTGCATGATGAGGATAATGTACGTCTCAGGGGATAATAGCAAGGATTAAATGAGATTATACGTACACATACATATATTTACACAGTGTGTTCCATGCCCTGTGCTGAAGGAGGGGTCGTCATTGTGGTGATGATAATGACGATACAGAATCTTGTACCCATCGATCACTCTTTTTATTCATCAAACACAAAATTAAAATGAGATGATGAAGGAGAAACAGAAGCCCTAAATGTTCTGCTACAGAAATCTACTTTTGTTGCCCAAAGGCACACAATTTTCACAGCTTTCTAGAATCTCAAGCCTTTCACACTAGTACTTCTAAAAGAATTTCACCTCCAGTCAGAAGACCAAGATTTAGAAAAGTCTACAGATAAGAAGTGCTACTATACGCTTGAGAACCCTCACCTTCAGCAAGTGAGGCTGCAGCGTGGGCTCCGCAGTTGTCTGAATTCTCTGGTCAGACTCACTAGATGCTCAGGACTGACTCTATATTCAGTAGTAGCCGTAACAAGGGATGACATAATGCCATTTGCAGCAATGCAGTTGGACCTAGAGATTGTCACACTAAGTGAAGTCAGACAGATACCATATAATATCGCTTATATGTGGAATCTAAAATAATGGTACAAATGAACTTGTTTACAAAACAGAAACAGTCTCACAGATGTAGAAAACAAACCTACATCTGTTTGTAGGGGGGAGGGGCAGGGAGGGATAAACTGGGAGATTGGGATTGATATATACACACTACTATATAAAAAATAACTAATAGGACCTACTGTATGGCACAGGGAGCTCTACTCAATATTGTGTAACAACCTATACGGGAAAAGAATCTAAAAAAGGTAGATATATGTATAACGGATTCACTTTGCTGTACACCTGAAACTAACACAACATTGTGAATCAACTATATTCCAAAAAAAAAACAAAAACAAATAGTAGATAGAGCAATGAATTAGCCTCCCTGCATTGAAAGGGCAGCAGGCCAGGGCCTGCAAAGCTGGTTGTTTGGCGGCCTGAATCAGGCCTAAGTGTGCACTGAATCCCCTGGTCAGGTGAGGCCACTGATGTTGCTCTGCAGACGGGGGAAGCCACGGGCTGCGCTCTCCGTGTAAGGGCCCGTCTACACGGGGCGGGTGAATGGGCTCTGCA